TAGAATAAACAGCCTAAAGAAGAACATAAACGACTTGATGGAGCTGAAAAACGCAGCACGAGAAATTTGTGAAGCATAGACAAGTTCCAATAGCCAAATAGATCAAGCAGAAGAAAGGATATCAGAGATTGAAGATCAACTCTAAATAAAAAGGAAAGGTAAGAAAGGGGAAAAAAAGAGTGAAAAGAAATGAACAAAGCCTCCAAGAAATATGAGATTATGTAAACAGACCTAATCTAGGCTTGATCAGTGTACCTGAAGAGAACAGAAAAAATGAATCCAAGCTGGAAAACACTCTTCAGGATATTATTCAGGAGAACTTCCCCAATCTAGCAAAGCAGGTCAACATTCAAAAACAGGAAATACAAAGAACACCACAGAGATACTCCTCAAGAAGAGCAACTCCAAGGTACATAATCATCAGATTGACCAGAGTTGAAATGAAGAAAAAAATGCTAAGGGCAGCCAGAGAGAAAGGTCGGGTCACCACAGAGGAAGGCCCATCAGACTCACTAATTCGATTTCTCTCTGGAGAAACCCTACAAGCCAAAAGAGAGTGGGAGCCAATATTCAACATTCTAAAAGAAAAAGACTTTAAACCCAGAATCTCATATCCAGCCAAACTAAGGTTCACAAGTGAAGGAGAAATAAAATCCTTTATGGACAAGCAATTACTGAGAGATTTCATCGCCACCAGACCTGCCTTACAAGAGCTCCTGAAGGAAGCACAAAACACAGAAAAAAACATCCAGCACTAGCCACTGCAAAAATGAACCAAATGGTAAAGACCAATGATGCAATGAGGTAACTGCATGTGCCAACAAGCAAAACAAACAACCAGTAACAAAATGGCAGGATAAAAGTCACACATAACAATATCAATGTTAAATGTAAATGGCCTAAATGCCCCAATCAAAAGACAAAGGCTGGCAAACTGGATTAAAAGTCAAGACCCATCGGGGTGCTGTATTCAGGATACACATCTCATGTGCAAAGACACACATAGACACAAAATAAAGGGATGGAAGATCTACCAAGCAAATGGAGAGCAAAAAAATAAGCAGGGGTTGCAATCCTAGTCTCTGATAAAATGGACTTTAAACCAACTAAAATCAAAAGAGACAAAGAAGGGCATTACATAATGGTGAAAGGATCAATATAACAATAAGAGCTAACTATTGTAAATATATATGTACCCAGTGCAGGAGCACTCAGATATATAAAGCAAGTTCTTTATTACCTACAAAGAGACTTAGACTCCCACATGATGATAGTTGGAGACTTCAACACTTCACTGTCAATATTAGACAGATCAACAAGACAGAAAATCAATCCCACTTACTCTAAAATTGAGCACATAATTGGAAGTAAATCATTCCTCAACAAATGCAAAATAATGAATAGTGGCTCAAACCACAGCACAATCAAATTAGAACTCAGGATTAACAAAAACACTCAAAACCACGCAATCATATGGAAACCGAACAACTGTCTCCTGAATGTTGACTGGATAAACAATGAAATGAAGGCAGAAATAAAGATGTTCTTTGAAATCAATGAGAGCGAGAACACAGCATACCAGAATCTCCAGGACACACTTAAAGTAGTGACTAGAGGGAAATTTATAGTAATGAATGCCCACATGAGAAGCAAGGAAAAATCTAAAATTGACACCCTATCATCAAAGTTGAAAGAGCTAGAGGACAAAATAGAAAAACTCAAAAGCTAGCAGAAGACAAGAAATAACTAAGATCAGAGCAGAACTGAAGGAGATAGAGACATAAAAAACAAAAACCTTCAAAAACTCAATAAATCCAGGAGCTGGGTTTTTGGAAAAATCAACAAAATAGACTGCTAGCCAGATTAATAAAAAAGAAAAGAGAGAAGAATCAAATAGAGGCAATAAAAAATGACAAAGGGGACATTACCCCCAATACAGCAGAAATACAACTACCATCAGAGATTACTACAAAAAACGCAATGAATATCAACCAGTAAATCAGGTAGAAATGGATAAATTCCTGGACACTTGCACCCTCCCAAGATTAAACCAGGAAGAAGTTGAAACCCTGAATAGACCAATAACAAGGGCTGAAGTTGAGACAGAAATTCATAGCCTATCAATAAAAAAAAAATCCATGTCCAGAAGGGTTCACAGCCAAATTCTACCAGACATACAAAGAAGAGCTGGTACCATTCTTTCTAAAACCATTTCAAACAATACAAAAAGAGGGAATCCACCCCAACTCCTCTTATGAGACCAACATCATTCTGATACCAAAACCCAGCAGAGACTCAACAAGAAAAGAAAAGTTCAGGCTAATATCCATGTGAACATAGATGCAAAAATCTTCAATAAAATATTGTCAAACTGACTGCAACAGCACATCAAAAAGCTTATCCATCAGAATCAAAGTAGGTTTCATCCCAGGGCAAAAACCACATGATTATTTAAATAGATGCAGAGAAGGCCTTTGACAAAATTCAACATCCCTTTATGCTAAAAACTCTCAATAAACTAGGTATCAACAGAATGTATTACAAAATAATAAAAGCTATTTACCACAAACCCACTACCAATATCATACTGAATGGGCAAAAACTGGAAGCATTCCCTTTGAAATGTGGCACTAGACAAGGATGCCCTCTCTTACCACTCCTATTAAATATGGTGTTGGAAGTTCTAGCCAGAGCAATCAGGCAAGAAAAAGAAATAAACAGCATTCAATTAGGAAAGGAGGAAGTCAAATTGTCTCTGTTTGCAGATAACATGATTGTATATTTAGAAGATGCCATCATCTCAGCCCTAACTCTCCTTAAGCTGATAAGCAACTTCAGCAGTCTCAGGATACAAAATCAATGTGCAGAAATCACAAGCATTTCTGTACACCAATAACAGACTTAAAGAGAGCCAAATCAGGAAGGAACTCCCATTCACAATTGCTACAAGGAGAATAAAATACCTAGGAATACAACTAACAAAGGATGTAAAAGACGTCTTCAAGGAAAACTACAAACAACTGCTCAAGGAAACAAGAGAAGACACAAACAGATGGAAAAACATTCCATGCACATGGTTAGGAAGAATCAATATTATGAAAATGGCCATACTGCCCAAAGTAATTTATAGATTCAACGCTATCACCATCAAACTATCAATGACCTTATTCACAGAACTGGAAAACAGCCACTTTAAATTTCATATGGAACCAAAAAAGAGCTCGCATAGCCAAGACATCCTAAGCAAAGAAAACAAAGCTGGTGACATCATGCTGCTGGACTTCAAACTATACTACAAGTCAACAGTAATCAATGGTACTGGTCCCAAAACAGAGACATAGACCAATGAAACAGAACAGAGGCCCCAGAAGCAACACCACACATCTACAACCATCTAATCTTCGACAAACCAGACAAAAACAAGCAATGGGGAAAGGATCCCCTGTTTAATAAGTGTGTTGGGAAAATTGGCCAGCACTGTGCAGAATGCAGAAACTGGACCCCTTTCTGACACCTTACACCAAAATTAACTCCAGATGGATTAAGAACTTAAACATAAGACCTAATACAATAAAAACACCCTAGAAGAAAACCTAGTTAACACCTTTCAGGACATAGGCATAGGCATAAACACCAAAAGCAATGGCAACAAAAGCCAAAATAGACAAATGGGATCTAATTAAACTCCACAGCTTCTGCACAGCAAAAGTAATAATCATTAGAGTGAACTGGCAACCAACATAATGGGAAAAATTTTTTAAATATACCCATCAGACAAAGGGCTAATATCCACAATCTACTAAGAACTAAAACAGATTTATAAGAAAAAAAAAATCCATCCAATAATGGGTGAAGAATATGAACAGACACTTTTCAAAAGAAGATATTTATGAGGCCAATAAACATATAAAAAAATACCCATCATCACTGGTCATTAGAGAAATGCAAATCAAATCCACATTGAGATACCATCTCACACCAGTTAGAATGGCGATCATTTTTAAATCTGGAGACAACAGATGCTGGAGAGGACATAGAGAAAAAGGAACACTTTTACACTGTTGGTGGGAGTGTAAATTAGATCAATCATTGTGGAAGACAGTGTGGCGATTTCTCAAGGTCCTAGAAATAGAAATTCCATTTGACCCAGAAATACCATTGCTGGGTATATACCCAAAGGACTATAAATCATTCTTATAAAGACACATGCAAATGTATGTTCACTGCAGCACTGTTGACAGTAGCAAAGACCTGGAACCATCCCAAATGCCCATCAATGACAGACTGGACAAAGAAAATGAGGCACATATACACCATGGAATACTATGCAGCTATAAAAAAAACAATGACTTCATGTCCTTTGTAGGGACATGGATGAACCTGGAAACCATCATTCTCAGCAAACTGACACAAGAACAGAAAACCAAACACTGTATGTTCTCACTCATAGGCAGGTGTTGAACGATGAGAACACATGGACAGCGAGAGGGGAGTATCACACACTGGGGTCCATTGGGGGACCTAGGGGAGGAATAGTGGGAGGGTGGGTAAGGAGGGATAATGTGGGGAGAAATGTCAGGTGTAGGTGATGGGAGGATGGAGGCAGCAAACCACCTTGCCACAAATGTATCTATGCAACAATCTTGCATGATCTGCACATGTACCCCAGAATCTAAAGTACAATAAAATATATACATATATTCCAAAAAAAAGATGTTCAGTGAACTAAAAAAATACATATAAAAATTAAATAAAATTTGGAAAACAATATAGAAATTTTAGAGATAAAGATTACAGGCATGGTTTAGAGATACTGTGGGTTTAGTGACAGACTATCACAATAAAGAGGGTCATTCACATTTTTTGGTTTCCCAGTGCATATAAGTTATATTTACACCACACTATAGTCTACTAAGTGTACAATAGCATTGCGTTTAAAAAGGTATAACCTTTACTTTTAAAATAGTTCATTACTTAAAAATGGTAATGATGATCTGAACCTTCAGAAAGTTGCAATCTTTTTGATGGTGAAGGTTCTTCCCTCGATGTTGATGGCTGTTGACTGATCACTGTTGCTGGTCACTGAAGGATAATGTGGCTGCAGAAGTTGCCTAAAATAACATAACAAAGACGATTGTCACATTAATGAGATCTTTCTTTCATGAAATATTTTTTCTGTAGCATTCAGTGCTGTTTGGTAGCATCTTACTCAGAGTATAACTTCTTTCAAAATTGGAGTAAATCCTCTCAAAGCTTGTCAGTGTTTGATCAACTAAGTTTATGTAATATTTTAAATCTTTCATTGTTATCTTTAAAATGTTCACAGCATGTTCTTCACAAGTAGATTAAATCTTTTTTTTTTTTTTTTAAAGACAGAGTTTCACTCTTTTTACCCAGGCTGGAGTGCAATGATGCAATCTCAGCTCAATGCAACCTCCACCTCCTGGGTTCAGGCAATTCTCCTGCCTTAGCCTCCTGAGTAGCTGAGATTACAGGCATGCACCACCATGCCCAGCTAATTTTTTGTATTTTTAGTAGAGATGAGGTTTCACCATGTTGACCGGGATGGTCTCCATCTCTTAACCTCGTGATTCACCAGCCTTGGCCTCCTAAAGTGTTGGGATTACAGGCTTGAGCCACCGTGCCCGGCCCAAGTAGATTAAATCTTAAGAAAACTTTCTCTGCTCTCCACAAAAAGCAATCTGTATTCATTCAAGTGTTATCAGGAGGCACAGCAATTCAGTCACATCTTTAGGCTCTACTTACATTTCTAGTTCTTTTGCTATTTCTACCACATTGGCAATTACTTCTTCCACTGAAGTCTTGGACCCCTTAAAGTCATCTATGAGGGTTGAAATAAACTTCTTTCAAACTCCTAGTAATTTTGGTATTTGGAATTCCTCTGATGAAACACAAATGTTTTTCATGGCATCTAGAATGGTGAATCCTTTCCAGAAGCTTTTTAATTTACTTTGCTCATATACACTGGCTAAATTATTATTGTGGAAGCTATAGCCTTATGAAATTTATTTCTTAAATAATAGGACTTTGAAAGTTGAAATTACTACTTGATCCATGGACTGCAGAATGAATGTTGTGCTAGGAAGCATGAAAACATTAATTTCCTTGTACATCTTTATCAGCACTCTCAGGTGACTGGGTATATAGTAAATGAGCAGAAATATTTTGAAAGAAGTAATGTTTGCTGAGCAATAGTCCTCAATACTAAGTTATAAATCCTAAGTCATACTGTAAACAGATGTGCTATCATCTAGATGTCATGTTTCTATTGATAGAGACCAGACAGAGCCCATTTAACATCATTAAGGGCCTAGGATTCTCAAAACAGTTAAAGAGCATTAGCTTCAACTTAAACTGACCAATTGCATTCACTCCTAAAGAGATAGTCAGTCGGTCCTTTGAAACTTCAAAGCTAGACATTGACTTCTCCTCTCTGGCTATGAAAGTTCTACATGGCATCTTCTTTCAATATAAAGCTGTTTTGTCTTCATTGAAAATCTGTTGTTTAGTGTAGCTATCTTCATCAATGATCAATGATCTTTGCTAAATCTTCTAGATAACTTGCTGCAGCTTCTACTTCAGCATTTGCTGCTTCACCTTGCACTTTTATGCTATGAAGATAGCATAATTTAACCACATAAGATGCGAACGAAACAACACAAGAACTCTGGTAACTCAAATGGCCAGAGTGTCTTATGTCCCCCAAACAACTGCACCAGTTCTCCAGAAAAAAGCTCCTAACCAGGCCATACTGCTGGAATGACAGAGGTAGAATTCAGAATATGGATAAGAATAAATATCCATAGATTCAGAGAATGGCAAAACCCAATCCAAGGAAAATAAGAATCACAATAAAGTAATAGAAGACAAAACAGCCACTACAAAAAAGAACCTAATGGGTCTGACAGAGTTGAATAACACAATACAATAATTTTACAATGCAATCACAAGTATTAACAACAAAATAAACCAAGCTGAGGAAAAAAAAAAATCTCAGAACTTGAAAACTTGTTCTCTAAGACAGTCAGACAGAAATAAAGATAAAAGAACAAAAAGGAATAAACAAAGCCTCCAAGAAGAATGGGATAATGTTAGGAGGCCAAATCTGTGAATCATTAGCATCCCTGAAAGGGAAAGAAAAAAGCAAACAACTTGGAAAACATATTTCAGGATATAATCCAAGAAAAGTTCCCCAACCTTGCTAGAGTAGCTAATTGTTCAAATTCAGGAAATACAGAGAATTTCCACAAGATTCTACACAAGAAGATTATCCCAAAGACATATAATCTCAGGTTTTCCAAGGTAAAAATGACAAAAAATGAATGCTAAATGCAGCTAGAGAGAAACCGCAAGTTACCTAAAAAGGGAATTCCGTCAGGCTAACAGCAAACCTCTCAGCTGATACCTCAAAAGCCAGAAGAGATTGGAGGCCTCTATTTAACCATTTTAAGAAAAAAAATTCAACCAAGAATTTCACATTTGGTCAAACGAAGCTTTCTAAGTGAAGAAGAAATACAATCCTTTTCAGATTAGCAAATGTTGAGGGAATTTATTACCACCAGATCTGCCTTATAAGAGATCTTGAAAGGAACAGTAAATGCAGAAAGGAAAGACCACTAACTTCTTTATTTATTTTTTTTACTTTAGGTGCACACTATATCTGACATTTCTCCCCATGTTATCACTTTCTCCTTATCCCCCATTGTCTCTCCTCTATCACCCCCAACTGTGTGTGATGCTCCTTTCCCTGAGTCCACATTGTTTAACACCCACCTACGAGTGAGAACATACTGTGTTTGGCTTTTTGTTCTTGTGTCAGTTTGCTGAGAATGGTGGTTTCTAGATTCATCCAAGTCCCTACAAAAGATATAAACTCATCGTTTTTTATGGCTGCATACTATTCCATGGTGTATATGCACCACATTTTCTTTGTCCAGTCTATCATTGATGGGCATTTCGGTTGGTTCCAGGTCTTTGCTATTGTACACAGGGCTGCAGGGAAAATATGTGTGCATGTGTCTTTACAGTAGAAAAATTTATAGTTCTTTGGGTATATACCAAGTAATGGGATTGCTGGGTCAAATGGAAATTCTATTTCTAGATTCCTGAGAAATTGCCACACTGTCTTCCACAATGGATGAACTAATTTACACTCCCACCAACTGAGTAAGAGTGTTCCTATTTCTCCACATCCTCCCCAGCATCTGTTGTCTCCAGGATTTTTAATGGTCACCATTCTAACTGGCGTGAGATGATATCTTGGTGTGGTTTTGATTTGCATTTCTCTAATGACCAGTGATGATGAGCATTTTTTCATATGTTTGTTGGCCTCATATATGTCTTCTTTTGAAAAGCATCTGTTCATATCCTTCACCCACTTTTGAATGGGGTTGTTTGCTTCTTTCTTGTATATCTGTTTTAGTTCTTTGTAGATTCTGGATATTAGCCCTTTGTCTGATGGGTAGATTGCAAAAATTTTTTCCCATCCTGTTGGTTGCCAATTCACTCTAATGATGGTTTCTTTTGCTGTGCAGAAGCTCTGGAAAACCACTACCTTCTAATACAAAACACACTTAAACAGACCAGTGTCACTGCAAAGCAATCACACAAGCAAGCTAACATAATAACCAGATAAAAGCACAATGACAGGATCAAATCCATATATATCAATATTAATCTTGAATGTAAATGGGTTAAACACCTCACTAAAAAGGCAGAGAGTGGCAAGCTGTGTAAAAAAGCAAGACCCATTCTTCAAGAGATGCATCTCACAAGTAATGACACTAATAGGCTCAAAATAAAGGAATGGAGGAAAATCTACAAAGCAAATGGAAAACAGAAAAAAGCAGGGTTTGCAACCCTAATTTGAAATGAAACAGATGCAAACCAACAAATATTTAAAAAAAGACAACTTTTTGCATTACATAATGGTAAAGGGGTCAGTTCAACAAGAAGACCTAACTGTCTTAAATACACATCCACCCAACACAGATTCATAAAGCAAGTTATTATGGACCTATAAAGAGACATAGATTCCCACACAATAATGTTGGGAGACTTCAAAATGCCACTGCTAATATTAGACAGCTCAAGACCAGAAATTAACAAAGACATTCAGGACCTAAACTCAACACTGAACAAAATGTATTGACAGACCTGTACAGAATTCTCCACCCAAAAACAAAAGACTATACATTCTTCTCATTGTCACAGGACATATACTTTAAAATCAACCATATAATTGGACCTAAAACAATTCTTAAAATTTGTAAAAGAACCAAAATCATATGGACACACTCTTGGATCACAGCTCAAAAAAAATAGAAGACTTGAAAAAATCTCTCAAAACCATGCAATTGCATGAAAATTAAACAACATGCTTCTTAATGACTGTTGGGTAAATAATGAAATTAAGGCAGAAATCAAGAAGTACTTTGAAAATAATGAAAACAATGATACAACATAACAGAATCTCTGGAAAGCAGCTAAGGCAATGTTAAGAGGGAAATTTATAGCACTAAACGACTACATCAAAAAGTTAGAAAGATCTCAAATTAACAACCTAAATTCACAACTGAAGGAATTAGAGAAGCAAGGACAAATCAACCAAAAGCATGCAGGAGACAAGAAAATAACAAAAATCAGAGCTGAGCTGCAGGAAATTGAGACATAAAAAACTACTCAAAAGATCAAGAAACTTGGAGTTAGTTTTCTGAAAAAAATTAACAAAATAGGCCACTAGCTGGACTAATAAAAAAGAAAAGAGGAAAAAAGAAAATAAAGACAATTGGAAATAATGAACCCCACAGAAGTAAAAACAATCATCAGAAGCTACTACAAATACCTCAATGCACACAAACTAGAAAACCAATAAGAAATGGATAGATTTCTAAAACCCCATACAACCTTCCAAGACTGAGTCAGGAAGAAATTAAAATTGAATCCCTTAACAGATGACTAATGAGCTCCAGAATTGAATCAGTAATAAGTAACTTATGAACCAAAAAATAAAAATAAAAACATGCCTGAAACCAGATGTATTCACAGCTAAATCATACCAGATGTACAAAGAACAGCTGGCATCATTCTT